TACAGCAGCAGAACACTGAGAGAATGAACGAGCACAGAGAAGTGGGGAGAGTGAGGGTGGGGGGCATGGTGGGTGAGGGTGGGGGGAAGGCTGATTCCACATTCTGCCAGCTCTGCTTTTGAAAAATCTTAGTTTCTATTTTAGTTTGAAATCCTTCGCTGAGGTTTGTGGGAGCCTCAGGTGGGCTTAGAATAAGGTGAGGGAGGGGCCAGTCACTCCTCCTCCACCCTCTCTGTGTATCTGCTAGCCGTGTGTGTGTGTGTGTGTGTGTGTGTGTGTGTGTGTGTGCAGGTTTGTATCTACCACATTATAGGGGCCAAAAAATGCAATCAAAAAAAAAAAAGTCTTGTATTTTGTTTGGTTACTTATGGTTAAGGTTACGGTTGGGTAGGGGTTAGGGTTGTCATAGTTAGGATTAGGGTTGTCATAGTTAGGATTAGGGTTATGCCCATGGAAATGGATGGAGAGTCCTCACAGTGATAGGAATATATGAACTGTGTGTGTCTGTGTGTGTGTGTGACTGTGTGTGTCAAGGTCAGGGCTTTCAGCACAAAGGAGGTGCCGTTGGGAGGCTCGACGCACCATAAGGCCCAAGGATTAGAGCTTCTTTGTGAGGGAGGGGGAGACGGCTGGGGTCACGTTACCCACGGCAACGCTCTGGAAACTGTGACACCCCACTGAGTTCCGTGCAGCCTGTGGCTGTGTGCTTCTAACAAGGCCTGCTGTGATTGGTGCTGCTCGAGCCCTTCGTGTCCTGATTGGCGGAGCAGCAGAGTGTTTATACCTCATGAAGGAACTCATTAAACATGAGAGTGTAAGACTAGTGTCAGTGTCTGATACGTGCTCTCTGCGGAGCCTGCTGCAGACACTGCGGATCCTTCCGGAGCAAATCCCAGGGCAGCACGGATATGGTGCTGATCTGACCGCTAAGAGCATTAATGTCCAGGTGAGAGCTGGCCTGGGAGCGGCCACACACTGATCAGGGGCCCAAGAGCAGCCCAGCTGTGTTATTCTTCCTTTGCACGATTCCCTGCAGGTGCAGGAGTGCAGGGTTTGTCGCCAGGAGGTTGTGGGGTCTGGACTCCCAGGGTGGTCCTTAGTGTTCAGTGAGCTGAGAGTGTCGCTGTATTCGGTACTGGGCGGGCAGACCCATCTCGGCCTGTTGCTCGTAAATATTCATGCGCTGCCTGACGAGCTCCGACGTACTGCTCCTGTGCAGGAGAAAATGCGCAGGTTGGGTGATGTGGCAGAAAAAGCCCCCCCCCCACCCCCATCGCCCATGGACCTCACTCCCAAACCCCCGCGAGTGTGACCGCAGTGTCACTCTCAGGCTTAACAGGGTACTACACCAGTTTGCAGGGTGCCCAGTGTGTGCCCTCCGTGTGTTGTCGTGTGACGCTGGTGATCCATGGCGCAGAAAGGTGGGCACACAGGTCCGCAGCCGGCGTAGCGGCCTCACGGCACCCCCCAGAACCGGTTGTCATGGCAACACTGCGCCTCGGCGTCTCTCCCGCCTCCCCGTTCGGCTGGCTGGGGGCCCGGTTAGTGCCGCAGAATCGAAACAGGGGGAGGGAGGAAGTGGGTGTTGTTAACACGCCGATGTCCTGGGAGCAGAGGAGATAATGTAGGCAGCTGTAGGTCCGTCCCCCCTCCCCTGCCTGCATCTTTGCCCCCCCCCCCCCTAAGCTGGCACACCTGAGTTGTGATCTGTCATCAAACTCACCAGCAAGCAGAACCGGGCAATTTTTAGCACCAGAATCAGTCATAAATTTTTAAAATCTGGTCAAAACGCAGAGCTGTCTGCCTGTTCTTCAGAGTCCGCTGGAGTCACAGAGTCCTGCTGCGGGGGTGGGGGCAGCTCCACTAGAATCTTTAGCTGATATCACAATAATAAAAGAGCTTCTGCTTGACCATCGGTGCCAGGCTTTTCTCAAGATGTGTGTCTCTGCCATTAATGAGATTCTAAGTAAAGCTTCTGCAGAAGTTTCTGAGGGAAACAACTTTAAGGGCCGTTAATGTGATTTTTTTTCCCCCAGACAAACCTGCATCGGACGCCCTGAACGCAGCCCGAGGCGGCATCTTCAGGATGTTGCTGCCGTTCTCTTCCGTCGTGACCCATTTTTGTCCTGTTCTCTGTGCACTAGCTTGTCTGTTTTTGTTGTGTACATACAGCTTAAGTACTCCTTATAAACTGTCTTGAGCAGCCAAAACAATTAAGTATTTGTCTAGCTTTTCAATAGTGAAATTAGGAAGTCAGTCTGGTTTATTATCAAAAACATTCTTCTTTGCTACATTTGCCGAGTTCAGCTGGCTGACAGCATCCTCATTTCTCCCATTAAGGATCATCTAGAACATTCTGGACGTTTCTGATACTGAGTTAGTTTAGATCCTCCTCACTTCTGTAGGGTTCCACAAGGCCTGGTTCTTGGACCTGTTACAGTTTAATTTTGGCCTTTCGAGACGTTAACTGTGAATTAATCACACATAAAATGCCATTTTTTTGGCTGGCTAAAGCTGGTACTGGCAGTGAGGGAGGTTTTGTAAACAGCCTTGATTTCGCAACAAGAATTCGGCTGGTTCTTGTGTTGCACAAGGGCCACTTATTTTATTAATGTGGGTGTATGTGGGCCTCTGTTGGAGCGTGAGGGCCTTTGTGAACGTCGGGACGGGGCGTGGTGTGTGTACATGTGATCTGTCCCCATGGTCAACATAGAGGATCCAGCAAACATGTGGAGATACCGTCTATTCTTGTTTGGCTTCACATTGACCGGAATTCTCCACTCATTTTTTCAAGGGTCATGTGTTCCTTCAGAGAGTGTCAGAGGTTAATGAGGGTTCATTGGGGCTTGCAGCCAGAGTCACTGATCACTGGGGCTGTGGGCTTCCAGCCGGAGTCACTGATCACTGGGGCTGTGGGCTTGCAGCCGGAGTCACTGATCACTAGGGCCGTGGGCTTGCAGCCGGAGTCACAGATCACTGGGGCCATGGGCTTGCAGCCGGAGTCACTGATCACTGGGTCAGTGGGTTTCCAGTCAGAGTCACTGATCGCTCAGTCAGTGGGTTTCCAGCGTGAGTCTGTTTATTGTCCTGTTAAAGATGCTAAATAAGACACATTTCTGCAGCTCCACCTGAGACAGACCCCAGTTCTGCGAGACTGATGTTCCCCCGATAAATACCTCAAACAGGTCAAACTTTAGTGCCTTGTCTGCCCCCCGCCTCCCTCCTTCTGATTTCACAGGTGCCGCGAGGCAGAGGGTGCCGGACTCTCCTCTGACCCTCTGTCAGATGTCACACAGCGCTGGCTGGGGACGAGCTGTGTCCAGGTGGGCGGGGGGACCCGCAGACCCACAAAATGATCGCAGCAGAACCAGCATGAGCGAGTCTGGTCTCAGTGAGAATTCTGCTCATGGGCAGAAGCCAGGGGCTCAAGGGGGGCCGGGGGGGCCGTCTGCTGGCCTGGCCGTGAACCCTGTGACATCACAGTGCTACGCCGGCAGCGGGCCCAGCTCTGCGATGGCACCCGGTCGCCATGGCAGCGGCACAGACGCCCCCTTGCTGTTCTGCTCCATATTAATAGTGGATATTTTTATCTGTTTGACGGCCATAGGGATCTGAGGAGGTCTGCGGCCGCGGACTGAGGGTGCGTTTCGGTTTATGTCGAGGGGCCGGTTCCTGAGAAGCGGTTCTCTTCTCTAGAGTGACGCAGATAAACGCAGGCCGTCGTCTCCAGCTTTGCACCCCGTGTGTGTGGTCGTCTTGGAGTCAGTGTCGGCTTAGCGATGAGGAGGCTTTCCATGCCTGACGGCAGGCTGTGCCCTACTTTTATTTGGTTTGATTTTGTTTCATTTATCTGTGTGGCGTGCACTTTTCATCCGCTCCCTTGGCTGTCCAGGTCTTTGTCCCGTAGTGATTTCCCCCTGTATTGTTTATTAATAATTATTAATAAAATCATTAATCATCAATAAAAAGAGGTGATAGGCCCAGGGGGTGCACGTCTGATCTGAGCTGTATTTCCCGAGGCAGAGATGAGGGGTCATGTTGGATATCAGAGCCCAGAGCCCTGGTTCAATGAGAGAGTCACACTGAATTGTCCTGTTCTCTGTTGCCCCCTGCAGGTGAAGCTGGTGAAGTACATTTGCAAGCAGCTGCAGTGCAAACGTAAGGTTCCCCAAGAGGAGCGACCGCAGGCCCTGGATGGGTACCCCCGTCTCGCTGACTGGCTACGCATCATCAACCTGCGACCAGAACTCATTGAGGTTCGTGACTGTGTTTGACTGTATACACCTTCACTGTCAGATGAAACCACTTGTGTCCACTTTTTGCTGATTCAGACTTACTATAGACGGAATACACCCGTTCTCCTTTGTCCACTAATAGTGTTTGACATCTAATGACCAGTGAAAAGATATATCGTATGATCTCATCAAAGCCATCAAGATAATATTTTGTATAGTGGGTTCTTAGTCGATCAGAATCCTCAGCTGCAGATGTGCTTTTATTTTGAAGGTTTGTTTTTCTTCCAGCCAGTGTTTTGGGCAGGCTGCGTTTGTCTTGGCGGCAATCGGATATTGTTTTTTCCCTGTCTAGAATAATAAAGAGGTTCCTCTCCTTCACGGACGAAGAAAAAGTCTTCTGTCTTTTCTCCTCTCGCCACTTTATATTTGTAGTTGACATTTGTATTCGTGATGGTCGTCTGTATAGATTTATCTCACAAATTTTAACTTAACGTTGAGAGCTAGATAGCTAGCTAACTAACACCGTCGTCGATTGCGAATATAGAGCAAGATTCGTTCGTATCTTACCGACACTGACATATTAGTCCTTGCTGACAGCAGTCCATTTAAAGTTCATTTGAAACATTAAACCGTTCACTGACGGCTGTGTAAAGACAGGTTCCTATTTGTGGTGCTCAGAGTGTCTCATTACGTTGTTTCAGGCTTATTTTGTAAAGTTATTTCTGCCAAAATGTGTTCTTTCATAATCCCGAAATAATGGGTTTTTATAGACGTGTGTTTTGCATCGGACAGCGACAATATATATGCGTCAGTTGGGTGTGTGTATGTATGTCAGTTCCCATGTCTGTCTGTAGATTTTGTGTGTGTAGATCTATGTGTATCTATAGATTGTGTGTGATTATAATTCCTCCCTTTACCTGTATTGCACTTAGTCTACTTACATGGTGACATCCTGTAGGTCACTTTGGTCTGTGTGTTATGTGGTCTATGTTTGGTCTGTGTCTGATGTTTTATTTCCGGTATTTTTTGACCCCACTCGATGATGCTGTCTTTTCAATAAAGGGCTCATTGTATGCCCCAATGCAAGTCGAGAGCACCATCTAGTGGGGTCAAAAAATACTGCAAGTGGTTCATAAGACTAGTCATCGCTCTGCTCATTGTGCACCGCCTACAGGCTCTGCCAGCACACCTTTCCCTGGACACCCTGCTCCACATGCCCAGCCCACAGGTTCTCCAGCTGCTCCAAGGTCTGGGCTCCAGCTCAGAAGACTGCTCCAAGCTCACTGCTGCCCTCTCCTGTCTGCGAAGTGCCACTGAATCGGGTGGGTCCTTGTGTACTTTGACACTTTCCCAAGGCACTTGAGGTTAATTCATCTGATAATGAATGTCCTAAGGGTGCAAAGGTAGCCTCCATCCTAAAAAAGGAACTTGTGATTACTAAGTGTGAGTAATCCAAATGTAATTACAGTTTGGTGTAATCCCTCATATGTCCTACAGAGGGAGAACTGAAGGACGATGTAGCCTCTTGGATGTTGGACCCAAAGAGACGGGACAGCGGCCCATCCGCTCCACCCATGGACCAGCTGACCTTCCCAGGGGGGTCCCTGCGGCCCCACAGCCCCTCCCCCTTAGCTCGTTCACCTGGGCTCACCCATACCATCTTGGGTCCCACCTCCTCTGGTCTTGATGGAGCCCCCTCTGAACATATTCCTGCTTGCTCCTCCCTGCCCTGTCACGCCGCTACCCCCCCTGCCACCCCCCCCTCCAGGAGGCGACCCCGCCTGAAGCCCCCCTGCACACCCCCACCCCCCTCTCGGAAAGTAGCCCAGCCGCCCCCTAATGTGGCTCTGACCCGCAGTCGGAGCCACGAGTCCCAGCTGGGCCACCGCATCGAGGAGCCCCCCAGTGTTGATACAGCTGGCCGGTGAGTGTCTGCTCAGAATACTCAATGGTGCTGTACGGCTACTCAAAGTACTGTACAAATATTATATGATGTTGTATTGAGTACTCATGGGTGATTCTAGATTTTTTAAGAGGGGCATAAGAGGGACCATAATTCATGCAGTGGGGCCAACTTTATCATTAGCCAGTGATATTTCTTTAAATCGGTGAGTGATGGGGGAGCACTCCGGGGGCTATCAGCTGCGGCCAGTGCCCCTGGCACCCTGCCCCTGTATATACACCTATGAGTACTAGATGAGTATTGTGTTGGTACTGCCTGAGTATTACTTCTATATGAGTACTCTGAATATTGCAGGACTATTATGTAGTACTTTATTGCCACTCAGAGTACCATTTGAGTATTGCGCAGAGATCTCCGCTGACCTTCCTTTGCTTCAGGTCTGCCAAGAAGAAGAAACTGCTGCTGAACATGCACGTGAATGGCGGCGTCCCTGTGGGAGGCTGCTGGGAGGATTCTCCCTCCCGTTCCCCGTTGCTCTCAGGGCGCGCCCCCCACGTTCCCCTGGAGGAGCACGGCACCCATAAGAGTAAGTCGCGCCCCTCAGCGCCCCCTGCAGTTCAGCATGAGTGCCACTTCGCTGACACCCTCCATCGCTGTCTTCAGACAATGCAGTGGTCCGGCGGAGTTCTCCACAGGCTGTAAGGAGGGACATCGGCCTGGCTGTCACTCACAGGTGGGGCCATTTGGAAGCACATGTATACTACCAGCAGGGGGCAGCATGGTTCAGGGTATGAAGCCGTTTGCCCGCCTGTGCCGTCACACCATCAACTTCCCTTTGAAGGTTCTCCACAAGGTCCTGGCTCTCACAGACCTGTCAGGTGTGTCAGAAGAGCATGATGTTCGGGGTCAAATGCAAACACTGCAGGTGAGTGGGCGGAGCTCACTGCAATGTGGTGGATCACTATTGGAAACTGTGGCTATCTGTTCTCCCGATGCTGGATTTCAATTGGTGCCTTTATTCCCTCTTCATAGGTTAAAGTGCCATAACAAATGTACGAAGGAGGCTCCTTCCTGCAGAATCTCCTTCCTGCCACGTAAGCTGAGCGGCTCGTAATCACAGCCTTGGGGTATTACTCTCTGAAGGCCCATGTGACCTCTCCCTTATTTCCTTCCCCGAATTCCAGTGGCGAAAATTCGGAGAACAGAGTCTGTCCCGTCGGACATCAACAACCCAGTGGACCGGCCCACGGAAGCACCGCAGTTTGGCACGCTGCCCAAAGCCAAGGTGGCTGAGGTTGTCTTGCGGCAGGGAGACGCCCCCTGGTCCTGTGGGTGTGACTAACAGACCCCGTGTCCCCCCCACCCTCAGGAACACCCCCCAGTGCTGAACCCAGTGGACTCCAGTAGTAACCCCTCCTCCACTACCTCCTCAACACCGTCCTCGCCCGCGCCCTTTCAGCAAGGAAACCCCCCCAGTGCCACCCCACCACCGCTGAACCCCTCCCCCAAGGGGCCCCGTGAGAGCCGCTTCAACTTCCCCGGTGAGTTTGAACACGGGAGTTTGTGCTGGGAGCCTGAACATTGACAGTGAATCTGAGCATGGGAGTTTGTGCTGGGAGACTGAATGCTAACAGTGAATCTGAGCATGGGAGTTTGTGCTGAGAGACTGAATGCTAGCAGTGAATCTGAACATGGGGAAGCATGGGCTGGGAGCCTGAACACTGACAGTGAATCTGAACATGGGAGTGTGTGCTGAGAGACTGAACACTGGCAGTGAATCTGAGCATGGGAGTTTGTGCTGGGAGACTGAATGCTAGCAGTGAATCTGAACACGGGGTGTTTTGAGTGACTGTACACTAACAATCTAATTGGGGTCTCTCTTTCTTTAATTTTGAACTTGTTTTTACATTAGCTGCTTGCTACTTCCAGCACAGACAGCAGTTTATATTCCCTGGTGAGTTAATAACCTGAACCCTAACCCTAACATTCCCTGATTGCTGACTGTTCATGTCCTGGTACAAGGTGTTTACCAGTGCTGTACTACCAAATTCTACACATACACCATGAACCAGGAAACTGAGCTGCATCTGGCCCTAAAAGTGGCCATTTTGGCTCTATTTCCGGATGACTGCATTTTGCTCTGCCACTCTATCACCTACAGACCTGCCCGGTGCTCTCCGTTCCGAAGGAGGCCAGCACAGCCCAGAGTAAGCCCCCGCCATCAATCACAGCGTTGTATTAACTGCGGGAAAATGGGTGCCTCTGCCTCACTCACCTCCCTTGACTGTCCCTCCTAAAGGGGGGAGCCATCGTCAGAAGACCCGAAATTGCCTCTAGCCGAGGAGGAGGGCGATGAGGTAGGTTTTGGATGGTGCAAGGCCATCTAGTGGTCTGGAGTCAGGAGGGAGAGGCACGGCTGCTGTACCTTAGAGCGGTCCTGCAGCTGTAAGGTACAATGTGTGTCTGGCTGTGTTTGTGCAGGAAGAGGAGGGTGAGGATGATGTGGCTGAGGAAGAGGATGGCGAGGATGAAGGGGAGGAGGATGAGGGGGCCCCGCTGGAATTCTATGGCTCGGTGGAGGTGGTGGAAGAAGAGGCCGGGAGGGCGGGCGGCTCGGATGGGGAGCGCCATGTGGGCGGCACCGATGGGCTGGACGAGCTCCCGGTGTCACGGGGCGGGGCCACGACAGGGGGGTCTTGGAGGGGCCCTATCTCGCGCAAGGCCAGCCAGACCAGCGCGTACCTGCAGGAGTGGGACATCCCCTTCGAGCAGGTGGACCTGGGCGAGCTGATTGGTAAGGGCCGCTGGGGGCGTGTCCACCGGGGCCGCTGGCATGGCGAGGTGGCCGTACGGCTCCTGGAAATTGACGGCAACAACCAAGACCACCTGAAGCTCTTTAAGAAGGAGGTGATGAACTACCGGCAGACGCGGCACGAGAACGTGGTGCTCTTTATGGGCGCGTGTATGGCCCCACCCCACCTGGCTATCATCACCAGGTGAGTCCAGCCCCGCCCCCTGGCTGCCCCTTGGAGCATGTCATGGGGAAAGGGCCACACTCACTGAAGCACTGACTTCCTGTACCCCAGCTTCTGCAAAGGCCGGACGCTCTACTCCGTTGTGAGGGACACCAAGAACCAACTGGACATCAACAAGACCAGGCAAATCGCTCAGGAAATCGTCAAGGTAATGGCAGGAGCCAAGAGCCCCCACTGTCTCATAGCAAAGTGTCGTAAGATTGCTAACAGCAACCCCCCCCCCCCCCCCCCCCACAGGGAATGGGCTACCTTCACGCAAAGGGCATCGTCCACAAGGATCTCAAGTCTAAGAACGTGTTCCATGACACCAACAAGGTGGTCATCACAGATTTCGGGCTCTTCGGCATCTCGGGAGTGGTTCGGGAGGGGGGGTAAGGACCATAGTATGCTGACCCCCCCACCCCTGAGAAACATGGGTCTCCGAGGCCTCATTTGAAAGACTTGCAAAGGGAGGGCAGATGGTACAGACGACAGAAGAAAGGGGGCATAAGAGGGGCTGTAATTCTTGCAGGGTGGGCAAACCTATCTTTAACCAATGATATATTTCATATTGGTGAGTGACAGGGGAGGGGGTACACCTGGACCAATCAACTTTAGCTGCCCCTGTGGCTCCACCCCTGTATACCCCCATGCATTATGCATTATGGTCATCTGTCTCTCCGTGCCCCCCGTGCAGGCGGCAGAATGAGCTCCGGCTTCCCCGCGGCTGGGTCTGCTACCTGGCCCCCGAGATCGTGCGGAGGATGCGCCCTGGGGTCTCGGAGGACCGCCTCCCCTTCTCCAGCGCTGCTGATGTCTACGCATTTGGGTAGGTGTGGCCACTTCTGGGACACACCTACAGAGCATCCAATTATCTCTGTCACCCTTGTAGCAAGTACTGGTTTTTTTGAAGGCCAAAAATGGGTTTTTGGGTGTATGTGGGCTCTATTTCAGCTAGCAATGCATGCTGGGAACTGTAGTCCATCTGATTAACATGTTTCTCCTTAGCACCATCTGGTACGAGATGCAGGTGCGTGATTGGCCCATGACCACCCAGCCTGTGGAAGCAACAATCTGGCAGGTGGGCAGTGGAGAGGGGATCCGGAAAGTGCTGTCAGAACTCAACCTGGGCAAAGAGGTCACGGTGAGTAGGAGGGGGGTTTATCGATTGTCAGGAGTGGTACATCGATAGTATCACCCAGGTATCAGGGTATATCGATAGTCTCACCCAGGAATCAGGGTATATCGATAGTCTCACCCAGGAATCAGGGTATATCGATAGTCTCACCCAGGAAT